AAGGTTCAAACAGGTCATCTCCCCATTTAAATTACAGAACCAGCTAAGCAAAAAATAAACTTTTCATTTATAACACAAAAAATTAAAGATGGAGTTATCATAATAGGAGTGGTGATTATGTGGTTGTGATTTGTACATTATTTTCCTTTGTTTATTTATCTATTTATTTCATGGTGCTGGGGATCAGACCCAGGGCCTTGTACAAGTATTCTACCCCCCTCAACTACATCCCCGGACCTGATTGTGATATTATTATTATTATTATTGTTGTTGTTGTTGTTATTAAAGAGTAAATTAAGAGAAATGGCTAAACAAGCAAATTATAAAAAGTAAAAAAACAGAGCCTTCTGTTTGTTTAAAAATTTAAAAATGTATACGAGCCTTAGCTTATCAGAGCCACAGAGTGAGCAGCTCCGTGGTAATGAAGCTGTGTTCAGACCAGAGCCCAGGGCTGAGCTCAGATGAAGCTGACCCTTGTCCCCCGCACAGCCTTCTTACTGGGCTCACTTCCTGTCATAGTCACACTAGAAAGAAGGACTGTTTTCATTATTTTAATCAATGAGCTGTAAGAAAAGAGATGCTAAGCACTTCAAAAATGAAGTTTCCATTCTGATAAAAGCCATTTCAGAATTCTTCATGGTTGACAGGGGAGGGAGGGACCCACCTTTTGGCAAAACCTTGCCAAGTCGTTGCCCTTCCTGGAATGGTCTTGGTGCGGGACCACTATCTGGCATCACATTCAGAGCTTATCAGCTGGTGCAGGCGGCTCTGTTCATTGACCACAGGGCTATACCCTTGTGAGTGTCCCAGAATAGCTGCAGCTACCTGAGAGCAGTGCAGTCCCCAGGGACTCGTTATTGTCCCAGATAAACAGCGTTGCCACAGCCAGCACGTAATGGCTGTATTTAACTGTGATAAGTGATGGGCAGCCATGCCCGAGTGAGCGGATCTCTGCTAGGGCCTGGGTAATTGGACAAAGGCAAGCCGGTTTGGCAGTGGACAGTTCTTCTACATCACAGAGTTATTGCTACGGGGCTTTAGACTCCTGGGACTAAATAGGGCAGACAAGAGGAACTTGCTTTCTAAATGAGTGAGATAGGAAGGCCTACTAAATTTTGGTGGCAAATCACAAAGGTATTTGAGGAAGGAAGGAAGAGAAGTTTAGAAACAGGTTAGACTAATAGAAGCAGGCTTTTGGGTAGAGGGGGGATCTCACCCCACAGAGAGGCTATCTTGGGAATGTGGGGTTATGGAACAAGACGGCCATTTTTCTCCACATTCACATTTACTTTGAGGAGTGGTTGTCTGGAAATCCTATGAAATACCTCTTATGGTAAGAGGTAAAGATGAGAATGGCCGTATTTTGACAGTGTCAGCATAGAAAAAAGTACTGCGTTTGGGCACATTTTCCTTCTCTCTGGTTCCCTGGAAATGTTTTCCTTGATAAAAGAGAATGACTAAAAGTCATGTTCTTGGCAAGTGGCTCACCAGGTAGACAAAGAATCTCTCAGCACTCTGGCTGAGATGTTTTAATCCTCTGGCCAGTGTGGGAGAGGCAGGCCTAGGATTCTGAGGCTAGCTGGCCATCCCAGCTTGACAGTGACCATGTATGGTGGTATCAGGCTTCACCATGGTACGTACGTGGTGCAAGGGATGGGTTTGCATGTCGTCATATGTGTGGGCTGCTCCATGTGACAGGGTGGGTTATTCTGCCTTCTCACAAACCCCCATTTAGGGGAAAATCCACGTGACGTTCAAGTACGGCCACTCCAAAACTTCCAGAGTGGGGTGTGTGTGTGTGTGCATGTGTGTGTGTGTGTGTGTGTGTGTGTGTGTGTGTAAATGAGAGTGCACACATGTAAAATTGAGAGCATGAAGGAGACTGAAAATTTGGGCTTGAAGGTCCAGAAATTTATTGGTAACACATGAATATACTCCTGTTCATGTTTAAAATATCACATATTTTGGGGCTTTTGTCTAAAGAGCCCACCGTCACCACATGTGAGAGGTGGAAGATAGAAAGTCTCCCTGGACCTCTGTTTCCTAGAGGAAGAATCAAGGCTTGGGGAGGGGTCAGTACGGATGAGGTCCAAGGTAACTAAGCTAGTCAGGGCATGCTGGACAGTCACACAGGTCTCTGCCTTACTTATTGTAATTTCCCCTTGGCTCAAGTGGAGAAATTATTTAGAAAGAGAGGACTGGCTCTTCATAGGGTTCCTCTGTATGGCAAAGACCAAGGGCCTGAAACTCCTATAAGTGACCATTTTCTGAAAACCCAAACTTGCCTCCTCCCTACTCTCTTGAGCCCTATACCTTGCGTACCAATGAAAACCAGAAAAGTGGAATCCGCACTGCTTCTTCATTGTCATGATTCCATATTTATTCCCCCATCACTAACAAAGGGCTGCCTAGTACCAGCCAGAGCCAAAGGGACCCAGAGGCTGACTTCAGTATCACCCCCCCCGTCCAATGTTATGGCAGAAAGGAACTCGTATTGCCACCGTCTGGCCTTTGTGGGTGTCCCCGGCAGAGCAAGTGCGCAGTGCAGGGAAGAAGGACACAAATGGTCTCTTTGCTATTCTTTTAAAATCAGCGCGGTGTGAGGCAGTTTTTAAAGCAGCAAGAGCAGGGCTGCAAAAAATAGAGTGTCGTGCAGCTGCACCCTTTAGAACTTTGGGGGAAAACACATATTATTTACCAGACAATAATAGATACCAGAGAATAATAATGATTATTATAGTGTTTGCGATGGCAAACGCTGTAGTTAAGGTTCCAGAATGGCTCTCATTATAATCCTGTTTTCCCAGTCTTATGAAAGCCTGGAAATTTTCTCCAAGTAGGCCGATGCTGGGCATGCTTGGTCTTCATGCTTGGTCTTTGTATTTCTTTGAATACAAAGAAACTTATTTGAGAGATATTCCTTTTTTTTTTTTTTTGTAGTGATTAAAGAAAAAGCTACGTCATTGAAAAGACAGTTGCAGCATTCTTAAGGAAGCAATTAAAAATGGTGTTTTCCAATCACTGGAAGAAAATGTTAAACACCTGTTTTTTTTTTCTTTTTCCCCTTTAAAGAAAGAATTTGGAGGCCCCCTTGGAGTCCAACATTCAGTCACTCTTGGTCCCAGGCCGAGGTGATGATTTCTCTCCCTCCACAGCAACTTCCAGGCTGTGCTCTATACATGAAAAGAACCGTCCCCAGAGGAAGCTACTCCTGTGTCTTTGGATCTACTTGTCATTTCTGCAGCTCTTTCCCAATCTTTTATGGCTTCACTCTTTATGGTGGTTCTGAGGAGAGGAGAGGGGAGGGGAGGGGCAGGGAAAGGAGGGGAGAGGCGGGGAGAGGGAGAGGAGAGGGGAGAGGAGAGGGAGAGGAGAGAAGAGGGACAATTGAGCTCTTTATTCAAAGATAAATATCCCCATTTCCAAATCTGACCATGCTAAATGAAAAGGTTTCCATGGCCTTGTAATTCCACCCCCCATTGCATATTTGTGGTATTTTGCATTTTCACTTTGGTTATTTAATATACATATTAAATGCACACAGATCTGGTGATTTAAGTGATTTGGGGAACTCAGGTATTTCCTGTCGTGCACATTGAGATTTTCTAACCTTGTTTTTGGCCGATGATTATTGTTGTTGCCATTAACACCAGGCTTCAGAGAGCAGGGTTTAAAGCACAAGCTTCTACTTCATCCTCCCAGTGGGCATTTGACCTTCGCGCTCTCATGCTAAATTCGTGTCATAAACACACCAAGCAAGATTCCAGTCTCTCTGTAGCCTCCATTTCTTCATTTGTACAACAAGGAAATTGCAGTGTATTATCTCTGGGGTCCCTTGAAGTCCTAAATTCTATCACCTCTTTTAAATTGTTCATTGCTCTGACAATAATCTCGTGGTTTTAAAGATGTTTACGAGTCCTGCCCCCACCTTACACGTAGCCAAATTGTACCCATTCACCTTTCTGATGTCCCCACTTCCTGGAAGGAAAAAGGGTGGGAGGCTCTTTTGAGAAATAGTAGAAGAGACCTGTTTGATTGTCATTCATTTGGCAAAAGTGTGTCGCGCATGCTGTGGGCCAGATGTGCACCAGAGGCTGGGTGTGGAGACAAACACAAGATGGCCCCAGCACCAGATTTCAGGGACTTCACAGTTTGCTGGGAAGACTTCTAAGTGGCTGCTTTCTGAGTGTTGAGTGTCCTCAGCAGGCTGTGCTTCAGACTGAGGGACGGATAGCAAAAGAAATAAACTAGCAGGGACAACGAAGCAGAAGCTCGTGTCTGTGGTGAATGTGGTTGAGGGGAGTCCTCCAGAAACAGACTTGCCTGGCTGCAAGTCCTGCTAAGAACCTCTGCCCTGAAGCCCAAGACTGGAGGAGGGGTGGGTTTATTGTCTTCCAGGCCTGTGTTTCCGATTGTTTTGGATGTGAGGAGATTTGAGCAGCTCACCTTTGACAGTCAAGACCCCCAGACAGAAGGGGGACAAGCACTTCTCTCGGCTCATTGCCTCTGTAGGAAACTTCTAAAGGAAGAGCCACAGTGCCTTTTATTTACCACAGAGTAAACCTCTGGACCTTCCTTCAGCAAACTTCAGAGCTGACCGTGGACTACAGGGCTAAGGGTCTGGACCTCCAGAGCCCCTGGTGACCTTGCTTGCCTTTGAAGTGACCTTGAGCGACTCAGAAGATCTGCGGGCAAAGTGTGAAGTCATGTGGGGGTGAAAACTGTTGGGTTGTGGAGGATGCTGTGGTCTTGGGGAGGGCGTGGTGCACCATGCTCATTATGGTATTCCAAAAAGCAGCTTGAGTTTCATTTCCTCACACAAAGCTGGCAGGGCCAACCCAGAGGAGATCGTGAATGAAACTCAGGCTGAAATCATGCTGCGCTGCCTTAGTTCTGAAGACTCGTCTTCAGTCCAAAGTGGCTGGCTGGGAGCTTGTTGTGGTGGGTGGGCAGGGATTTGGTCCAGTGCATTCTGATGGCTTCTTCTCCTCTCTTCTCAGGAACACTCACTCCCAGGGTACCTTGCATGGAGAGAGGGCGCGGAGCAAACTATGTCACGCCATCCAATGACACCAGCTGGTCAGCTCACCACCCCCCCTGGCTAAAACTCAAGCAAATAAAGCCGCTTCCTGTCATTAAGCATCCCAGAGGAAGCAGCCCTCCCTCAGTGGCCTCTAGCCCAGAGAAGCCAGCACGTTTTGGACCCATCCAGCAGCCCCAGCCTTCTTGCTGCCACCATCTCTGCTTCTCCCCAGAGGAATTTAGGGATTTCGCCCCTGGTTTAGAAAACAAACAAACAAAAAATACCAACAAGCCACAAGGACCAATGTAGGTATTCTCCCCGCTCCATCGTCAGGGCTTGGTGGCAGTGGAGGCTGGAAGATGATACCGATTGGAAAACAAGAATCTTTTTAAATCTTTTTAAAAACTGCTGTGGTTTTGCTGCTACACTAAGAATTGTGATTTGCATTGTATGGTTTTGGACCTATGCTGTTCCCATTTTGATGGTGGGGAGGGATGGCACTGGAGTCTCACCACTTCGGATTCATCTCTGCCCAGCCCAGGATGCACTTTTAAATGAAGAGTTAGAATATTTTATTGGCTAATATACTTTTCTTGTTATTTTTACAAAGGCCACCTTTATCCTTTTTGATGCCATATTTTCAGTGTTACACTTTTATGGCGTTTAATTTTCGATTTGACAGATGTAAGAAGCAGCATGGATAGTTTATACTGTGGTTTTTCAGAGACTGAATGCCAAGAGAACTCAGTAAATGTTTATTCTTCTCAGCTTTCTCTTGAAATTCCCCTAAATAGCACCCCATTTGGGAACAGAGCAAGAGTGTTGAACTGAAGACCAAAATGCCCTCAAGGTGTAAAATAATCTGAGGGGGAATATTTGCTGGGCGTCACGAAAGACTCAGATGAAATTTCAATCCTGATGGTTTTCGGTGATCCAGGAAGTCAGTGAGACAATCTCTCTATACGCAGAGCCCTTTCATGATAATTAGAATGGTATGGACGAACCAATGAAAACAAGAGGGAAAGTGAGAAAGATCGCCCATGATTCTGTTTCACTGTTTGCTTTCTCCTGTCATGGTTAAGAGAAATGTGCAATTCGATCCTCAATCAGGGGGTGGAGGGTAACAGGGTAGATTTACTTGTGTGCACTTGTACAGTCGTAGCTGCGAGTCCAGAAGCCCTCTAGAGCTTGTGTACTGGCACTGAGTTGGTGAGACAGTCGTGGAGTACCCCATTCTGATGAGTACAGAAAAAAAGAAAAAATAAGAAAAAAAATCAAAAAAAGAAGAAAACTAAAAAAAAAAACAAAAACAAAAACAAATCACCTTGTGATTCAGTGTATCTGTTTACTAACTCAAATAAAAGCAATTATTCCCTCTGGAGGGGTCCAGTGCCCCATCCCACCAGGCCAAGGAGCCTGAGCTGGAGGGTGGCGGGTCACGGTGGGCAAGGCCAGCTTGGCCCACACCAGCCTTGCGACATCCCGGGCCATGGATTCGGTGTACATACTGTATTTCTATATTCTCCTTTGTACAGTCACTTAACAAGTCAAGCTACTGTTTTACAGGTGCTCCTTATTTATTAGAGCCGTGAGAGCTTGGGGGACACACTGGCGAGTGAGCTCGCTTTTTAAAAATGAAATTTGGGGGCAAGGGAAGGGAGGCGGGAGGGAGGGAAAGCTCAAAAGCCCGGGGAGAGATTTATAAAAGTGAACAAAAGAAAAACTTACAGCAACAAATTCAACCAAACAATCAACCCACCCCAACACCAAACCCACCCATGCAGGATGCAGCAGCTTCCCATCTGGGTGCTCATTTTCCTGTTGGCCCCATGACATTCTCCTCTTTCCCTGACTGGTGTCAGATTCATCAAACAAAAATAAATCTCTAAGAAAAAAATGCACTCACACGCGCTCATTTGGCTTTTCTCATTATTATGGCTATTGTTATTTTCCTTGTTACGGAGAATTGCTTATTTTTCTCCCTCTGGGAGAAATTTTAAAAAATGAAACTAGTAAGTTTTAAAAGACGGTCAGATGCCAGGAGGCACTGGCCCTTGCGAAGCTGCCGTGGAGATCCCAAACCACACGGTTCCTTCCCTGGCCGGCAGTCCAGCCACGCCCATCGTCCAAAGCATAGCGCACGCGCAGTGGGCTCGTGGGGGGGGGCTGCAGGCCCAGTTGTGCTGTTCTCTCTATTGGTCTCCAAGCCCTGGTCTTGAGCTCTGAGGCTTTGTGTTTAAGGTTCAAGAGGTGCCCCTTGAGTCTCCTCATTCCGTACTCATCTCGCTGAGGGCTGGGGTCGGGTGGGGTGGTAGGTTTCAGCTTTACATGAATGGCATAAGCCAGTCAATCTGGCTTTTCTTTGGTAATGAAAGACCATTCCTAAGGTGGAACATACACTACTACCAGTTCTAATAAATGTAACTCTAGTCCAGTCCTCTAGTTATACTGCTTAAAAGAAACAAAAGCCTGGAAAAGCAAATCGACTTGTTCAGAGTCCTACACTTAGTTGACTTAGCTTATCAAAGGATGAATACTCATTCAAACCTTAGGCATCCTCGGCAGTTCCTTCTGAGGCCTGGTCTCTTGCTCGGGCAGGGCCTGAGGGTTGTGTTTATGATGGTCACTGTCTGAACTGCACCGAGGCAGGTCCAGCGAGGACATGCCCAGGGCATGAGGCTGTATGGTGCAGAGTCCCCGATAGCCTTATTCATCCTTGGCCGTAGATTCAGCCACCCAGGATATTGATTATGCTTTTGTTTCGAGTCCAAGATCTTTGAGCAATCATTTTGACCCTTTTGGAAACAAAAAGTACCTTTGTCCCCCCCGCCACAAACACGCATGCGCGCGCACACACACACACAGTGGCATCTCATTAGCCATCAACACCTTTTCCTCCTCCCCTTTCTTCTCTGGATCCTAGTGCTGTCCGAATGGACCACTCTCTTGGGCTATCAAAACCATATATAAAACTAGGCGTTATGGTGCACGTCTGTAATTCCAGCACTCAGGAGGCTGAGGCTGAAGGGCTGCCGTGAATTTGAGGACAGTCTGGGCTATATAGTGAGTTTAGGGCCAGCCTGAACTACAAAGTGAGACCCTATTTTTAAAAATCAAAACAGGGCTGGGGATTTAGCTCAGTGCTGCCGCTGCCTGCCTTGCAAGCATAAGGTCCTGAGTTTGATCCCAGGTACCAAAAAAAAAAAAAAAAAAAAAAAAAAAAAAAAAAAAAAAAAAAAAGTAAAAAAATCACATATAACAAGAACTAGGATAATTATGGAAATAATAGCTAGTATGCATTGAACGAATAAACAGTAGTGTCATTTTTATGCCACCCCTTGAGGGAAGGATTTTATTCTTTCCCCCTTGTTGTGGATGAAAAACGGAGTTCAGGGGTTTAGTTACCACCTAAGGTCACATAGTTGGAGTACTACAAGCCCAGGAGGTTTGGGACCATATCCCAGTCTCTACATTTGACTTGAAGAAAAACTTTTGACATCCTGATAAAGTGTCATGTTTGCCTTCCAGTAAATTTGTGCCAGTGATTCAGCCATACCTAGAGTGGCCCTCACATTATACTGAACCAGCAGGTGAGTGTGGATGGGTGTTGCCCATCACGTGTGGCTGGATGGGGGCACCCCTGAGGAATGAACCAGTTTGTTTTCCTTGGCAATTGCCAAATCTCCATGGAGTGTGAGACCCATGGCTAATGCTGAGGGAAGAACGACATCAGAAATAAAGCTCATGCTTGGCCCCTGCCTCAGTGGCTTCTGCTTCATGGAAGCAGGGGGCTGTGGACAAGAGGGACTGCTTGGTGGCTCTGTCTGAATCTTTTCCAGTCGCTTCCCGGCCTTTTGGCTAAGATCAAGTGAATCTTCTCCAAGATGCATATAATTGCATATTCAGAGTCTGGATTCATGCTTTCTCAAAGCTGCTCTCCCCTTGCAGGTGCTCCCCTGGGATAGAAGGGCAGCCAGAGCTGGGCACAGGGCCAGAGGTTCCAGCTCCTGCCATACACACGGCACAGCTGAGGTTCAGGCTGAGGCATTGGCCCTTGCTGCCTCCCAGCTCTGTCCACCTAGCCCTGCCTGCCAGCCTCCCCTCTACATCACCTGACTGAATGAGGAGCTGACTCCACATGGCCTTGCTCTCCCTGTCCTGCACCTTTGCACACAAAGCTCCCTCAATGGCTTCCTTCCACTCCTTGGACTTTCCCACTGCCCAGATGCCCAGAGTGGTTTCCTCCCTCCCTCCACGCTGACCTCCTCTTGGTACAGATCACACTGCTTACTCAGCTGCACCCCTGTCCTTGTGCTTTACAAATCCACAAAGTCCTTGGGAATGGGGATCATTTCTTACTTGTTTCCTATCTGCTAGGCCCCTCACTATTATTATTATAATATCATCATCATCATCATCATCATTATTGTTGTTGTTACTGTTGTTGTTGTTATAAAAAGGAATAAACCACTCCTTCAAGGCTCATTTCTTCATGAAGCCATGCTAACTTCTCAGAGGTACAGTTAGGTACAGCTTCTCTCTCGGGCCTCCTGTGCCTCCAATTTAAATCAATCCAGGCCACTTTTGGTGCCGACTAAACAGGTTATCTTGACTCTAAAGCCCTCCTAACTTTGCATTCTTGAAGAGCTATTCTCTGCACTTGGAACTAAAAACGTTGACACTCTTGGATTGTGCCAGCCCAACACCATAGGAGGACAGTAGAACTCTGAAAACCAGAGCTGTGGCAGCAGATGCGGAGACCCAGGGTTTCACTTCATGTTTCTGGTGCTCCGAGGAGAGAAGCGCCAGAGGTAAGGGTCGGGTTCAGCCAGGGTCCCTGTGTTTCCCTGCTGAACACTGAATCCAGGTCACAGCACTATTACATGTTTTACCCGGAAGAGAGTTACAGATGAGGTTGCTTCTTGGCCCTTGGACACATTTGTGGATGGCAAGTTGGCCTGCAATGCCCAGAAAGTACCTCTTATTCTGTCTTCTCAGTTGTGGGTGAACTGAACACTTGCCACAGTGTGTGCTATTCTTTCAACAAGGGAGGA